CCCCAAAACCCCAAAACCCCAAAACCCCAAAACCCCTTTATTTTCCCACAAAGTTGAGTCTATTATATAATAATAAAGATGAAAACTATTCTTTTCCTAATTGCTCTTCTAGCAGTATCCACAGCCATTGCTGAGGATATCTTCTTGGGTGAAGACCATGACGCAGGTTTGATTGAATTAGAGAAAGGGGACGACATGTTCTACTGGCTCTTCAGATCTAGAGATGTTCCAGAGAAAGACCCACTAGTCCTTTGGTTGACTGGAGGTCCAGGATGCTCCTCAGAGGTGGCTCTTTTCTATGAAAATGGTCCATTTATTATCCAAGATGACTTAACTTTAGAAAAGAACCAATTCTCTTGGAATGAAGTTTCCAACTTGTTGTATATTGATCAGCCGCTAGGAACTGGATTTAGTAGGACAGACAAGCCAGATCACTACGCCAGAAATGAAAAGATGGTTGCTTCTACTATGTATAAATTCTTGACTTTGTTCATTGAGAAATATCCAGAATTCAGAGGAAGAGATTTCTATATTACTGGAGAGAGTTATGCCGGGCACTACATTCCAGCTATCACTGCTTATATCGCAGAGCAAGGAAACCCAGATATTAACCTCGTTGCATCTGCTATTGGAAACGGTTTGGTAGATCCTTATGTCCAATACCCAGAATACAACAAGTTCTCATATGAGAATAATCTTATTGGAGGTATTCATAGTACTATTCTCTCTGCTGGATTCAAACTTTGCCAAGGATTGATCTGGACTAGAATCTGGCCATTGGCTCTTATGGAATGTCAGATCATGACCACTACTATCTTGGGATTCCCACTTTATCCAAACTTCAATGTCTATGATATTAGAAAGAAATGAAGTGTTCCACCTTTGTGCTATGATTTCAACCTTCTCGATAAATTTATTGATCTCCCTGAAGTAAGAGAGTTCTTGGGTGTTGGGAAGAGAGCCTGGAGCAGCTGCAACCAAGTAGTTCACACCTTCATGCTTGGTGACTGGATGGTTGATCTCTCATCAAAGGTTAAGTATGCCCTTGAGAATGATATCAAAATTCTTGTCTACTCAGGAGATAAGGACTTCATCTGCAACTGGAGAGGAGGAGAAGCCTGGACTCATGCTCTTGAATGGCAAGGAAGAGAAGACTTCCACTCTAATGAGTATCAGACATGGACTGTTGATGAAGAAGAAGCTGGTGAATTCAAACAAGCCAACGGACTTACTTTCTTGAGAGTTTATGACGCAGGTCATATGGTCCCAATGGACCAGCCAAAGAGATCTTTGGAGATGCTCAAGAAGTTCATCAGTCATGACTTCTAAGTTCTTTATATTTGAAAGAAAAATTCAATTTTTTTGACTCAAAGAGGGGTTTTGGGGTTTTGGGGTTTTGGGG